ACTAAGTGCATTAGGACCAGAAAGAGGGATTAAAAAAGTAGTGGTGAGACACAAGTCTTATGTTAAGAATGCAGGGCTCTTTTGCAAGGGCAACAGGGGCTTGTATCACGAGAATAGACTATTAATATTATTTTATTATTATTATTCCTGTTAAACAAGCAAGTTATTGGCTCTCGATGCTAAAGTTACAGACACTTCAAATAAGCTTTTGTCAAGCTGCTTGTGTGCATGCATTTATGTGTGGTGTATGTTGGCTCATGTGCAAGCGTGTACAAGTTACTCTATATCAAGCACTCTTGTGTGAGTCATGTGGGCTTTGTTTAATCATCTATCTGCAAGTGTTTGGTCATAGAGACTGGTTCAGTGGTGGGCACATGGTCAAAGGACTGGACAGGGGATAGTACATGATTCCACAATGCTTCGATGGCCTCCTGTATCAGTGCCTTATATTAAATGCTTTTTTTTTTTTACTGGCCTGGAAACTGCTTGAGGGCTGAGCCCAACCCAGTGCACAGAACAAGAGGAGGCAAGAACAGGGAGCGGACAGAGATGACTATGTTCCCTTGTATCTTCTAAAGGCAAGAAGAGTTGTTTTTAAAATATGTGGGTAAGGTTGTCTTTCATGGCAGCCTCCCACTAAATATTACAGTTGTATTGTATACAGACAGTTTATTACGTTATTACGTATTTTGTTGTGAGTGTGTTGAAGGAGCCTTAGGCTGATATATGGTTAGTCCCATCAGGGACCGAAAAATGAGTTGTGGAGTTGTTTTCAAGCAAATGTGTGCTAATTCTGTTAGCAGTAAAGGAATGGGTAGGCAAGAATGATCGAGGACGATGAAGCTTGGTTGGTTTGAGGTTTGAAGCATGCTGCTGAGATGAGGATGCTGATACGTGATTTGGTGAATTGTTATATGCTGATATGGAGAAGCAGGAAAGGAGGCCAAAGGAGAAACAACAGCTTTGGTTTCCATGCATCACCTGATATTTAAAATCTTTAATCTATTTTTCTGTTTATTTGTTTGTCCTTTAGTTTTTATGTCTCATGTTTGAATTACAGACCAGTATCTAAACCAGTTTCATTGATACCGCTAGCGCATAACTGGGGAAGGTTACTCCATTGGTTTCAGTTCAGAGAGCATATTTGCTACGGATAACAAATGGTTAAGATTAAGGAGCCATTTTTAAAGTTTTCAATTTTATTTTTTTCTCTCTTTTTCTTTTTTGGGCTGGTTTCCCATGTTTAGATCATGGCATGTTCAGTTCATTATAGCGTTAAAGCATTGGAAACCAATGTATGACAACAACAGCAACTAAACAATAATATTAATGCAAATTTAAAAAAAAAAATTATAAATAAAAAACACCAAAAAACAAACAAGATGACAGAAAACATCTTTGTTGATTTGCACGCTCCAAGGGCAGTTTACAATTTGAAAAGACTTGTGCAACTGCAACATTGCAGCAAAAAATGTTATATAGTGCCTTGAGTCTGATGTAGACTTTCACCCTGTTTTGCTGAGCTTAAGCATAATATCCACTACCCAGCCATCCTAAATATGCTGCTTTCAAACGTTGAACTGGCATGGGGTTTGAAATCATCCACAAGTCATTCACAGTGGCTAAAAACAGGGTGCATCAGCAGCACAAAACGGCTTTCATATGCTGAATTCTCATAGCTTACCTTGAAAAGGGGCAGTCGAGTTTAGGTTTGTGTCCATCTATGTCTGCATGTGTGCTTGTGTGCATGTCTTTCTGTGGGTTAAGGAGATGTTTTTGTGTACTCGTGCATTTTCTTTCTCCAGAAACAGTTCTTAGTGATGCTTGAGTCTCACAAGCCACATTTCCTCCATCCTCACACCAAAACCCCGTCAATCTTATTGTATCAAGTTAGTCGGTCCTATTATTTTCCCAGCTCTGCTCTGAAAATGAATTACAGTACTGTTAACAGATTGTTTGGGTGGCTAAGTGGTTTGAGTTTGAATATGAACCGAAGTTACGTTCCTTAAGGGGTATGATACTGTATTCCAAAGTGATGAGAGATGGAAATAGTGTGAAGACGTCAATCAAGTGTCAATATTGTTATTGAGTTATTGTTTTTTTCCGCTGCTAAAAAGCTATGATTTTTTTTTGTTTCATCTTATACACAAAAATAACATTACATAGTTGTGATGTCACATCAGTGTGCTGCTATTTTATAAACAATTGTATTATAATTATTTTACTGCTTACAGAATACTTTGAGAATACAGAAGTAGAGGGTAAAGGAAGAACATGAAATGAGTATTCGACTGGAAATGCTCTTTGTACAGTGTGCTCTTATTAAGGCATGTTTCTTTACCTTTTAATCTCTTTTTTTCCCTCCTCTTCTTTCTCCGTCACATTCTGTAAGTGTGGTATCTCTATACCTCAGGTTTACTGGACATAAAAGACTTTCCCATTACCTCACACAACTCACAACAGTTTTTTCGGGAACCTGGAAAGGACCGCACAAATAAGAGGTTATGATATTTCTTCTGTTTGATTTAGTAAATTCAGCGGAATTGAATTTAGATGAATAGCAAGGCTCCCACCTAGACTTCAGAAATAGTGGACGGAGGAGGTGATGAACGCTTGACAATGTCTTATGTACACAGCCCTTATCAGTGGATATAAACCTGTAAATCAAATAAGCAACAACATTGAGAAAAGCCCTCCTTCCTCCACTATAACCATATCATGTACCTCAGTTATGTCTGTTGCACAACCTCTGTTCAATAAATTTGCTTTAAAGAGTGTGGTGCTATGTTGGTCTTATGTTATTGTTCCCTTTTACTGGCAAAGTTAACGGTGAAAATAACAATGGGAATCTATCCGGCATGTTATAACCTGGTAAAGAATGACTGTAAAGATAGTGTTTATTATCAGACACAGGCCAGATGGAAAATGACACATTTCAAAATTAAAGCAGACGTTTAACTTTTCTGTTCAACAATGTTTCCTTCCAGAATTATCCTCTGAATAATTACAACTAAGTCAGAAATGGTCACAGCTGATTTTGAAGAATTGAATTATGAGGTAAAGTCATTAGGGCTTGGCAACTCTGTGGATATTCTTTGGATTTCTGTTGAACTCAAATCATTTGTCATTGAGAGAGCATGAAGTTAAAAGAGAGGACATGCTGTATGCTAAGGTCAATAAACTTACCATTAAAGAAGTATTCAGTCTCCTGTTCTCTTTATTTCAGTAGGTCAATGATGAAAAATGTTTTATAACTGAGGAACAGTTGGTGAGCGATTAAAAATATAAGATTTAAAATAAAATATCTATGTGTCGAGGTAATGTAATGCAAAAAATAAAACCGTTCCATGACAGACGCTAACAGACCTCGTGCCATTTCAAACCCCGCCACGCGCCACTGGCGCCAGTGAGTGACTAGCGTGAGCTATGATATGACTGATTCGTGAACGAATTGTACTTTTGAGTCGGATCTTTTCAAGGAATCGGTTCGGCTGGTGCGGTGCGGTGCGGGTTAAGGCTAGATGGCATGTAAAAACTACTGAGCATGCGCACATCAATATAGCGTAATTTTTGTCACACTGTACAACAATAATTACTATTTTTGCATGATTGTAAGGGGTAGGTTTAGGGTTGGGGTAGGTGTAGACGTTATTAAAACACAAACTAATAGGTATAAAATTGTATTAATTGTTTTCTTCATGGGCGTAGCTTGTGGGGGGGCCAGGGGGGCCTGGCTCCCCCATAGCCATTTAAGAATTTTACTAAATATTTATTTATAAAGTTTTTTCTATGAAGTAAAAATTTATATAATGCCATTAATAATACATGTAAAAGTGAATACGTAAAAGTTAATACATTTTAAATTGTTGTTGTAAGTAAATTAATAAATCAAAACAAAATAATAGACTTAACGGTAATGCTTGCCTGTTGTGTGGAATAAAATGATGTTCCGCGTTTTTAACAACGTACACGAACTGCAGAGAAACCTGGAGACAACGAAAACCTCCGATGAAGATATTAATGCTGATGATTCCGGACCCGGATAATCAGATAAAGGTGATCCACAAGACGCAGCCGGTTTAGCCGCACACTACTTTTATGTCAACCATTTACATCCAAATGTTATTTAATTTTCACAGAACACACCCTTTAAATAGATTTTAGAATATAAACTGTTTATCGTCTATTCAGTAAGACTAAATAAAAAGTGTGCGCCTTATTGCGCATTAACTTGAATCAAGCCCAACAAATGTCTGTTTTAAAAACAGTGGATGAGTAATTCACTCCTTGGTTTGCTTAATAAAAGCCTCCTTTGAGATCGTTTTGACAGACATGTTTATTGTGCATTTTAAACGTGTTTATTGCTAAGTTTAGTGTGGCAAAATAGAAGCGCAGCTGTAATTCGAGGGCAGTATGTGGTTACCATGACAACCTCACGCGCTTGCCGCTGCTCTATGTGAATGTGAATATAGATTTACTATAGCAAAACTAAAATGTGTTTAAAAGTACGTCTGACCAAATCCACCGTTTCGGTTTGCCCCCCACCAAACTCAAACGTCAAGCTACGCCTATGGTTTTTCTTCCGGTTTTTGCTGTAGCCCTTCTAGCCACAACCGTGCGCACAGCCGGTCTGAACGATCTGTTCACGAACCGGATGCAGATTGTTGAAGACACTGGATATATGTGTGACATGACAGCTTTATCAGTAAACTTACTAAACAGAGATGGTTTTAACAAATAGTATTTGATGTAAAAATAGAACTATTTCAACCAGAAAATATAAATGCGTTTTATTACAGTTTCGGCTATCACAAGTTAAACTGGGATACAATAAATTGCATATGATATAGCACCCTTACAAACAAAACAAACAAAAATTGCGTACACATAGCTTTATTGGTATGTAGAGCTTAATGGGACCGCGTAGTGATGTAAATAGGTTTTGACATAAAAAGAATTGCTCTTTGAGCCGTTCAAAAGAACCGATTTGTGAAATTGAATCGGACCTACCAGCCGTGCGTACTAACTTCCGTCTAATCAAGTAGGCTACGGGGCTAAGCGCTGTCAGTGCTGTCACACCAAAGAAGCACATATAGGCGCCTATTTGAAAACACAAGGGGCGTGACATCTTGTGAACGACTCCGGGCTCAGTGGATGAACATCTTATAACCTCAAGACACTGTTAACTGCATCTTAATAGCTGCACCAATGCTCGCTTTTGGTTTAACGATAGTCCGACAGTAAGTTGCCTCATTTGTTTTGTTTACTTAATGAATGCGATTTTGTTTTATTCATTGCTATTCTACATTGCCAACTGATAATCACTGCGTTATTGATTCAGTGATGGTAAATAAAAGTGATTCGAGAGAATAGTTTTAATGATACTTTGCTAAAGCAGTTATAAATAAATCACTATTGGCACATCATGGCATTATAGGCTACTGTAGATCGGTAAAAAATACATGAGGGTTGTCTGACATTTAGTAGAGTGGGAATTTACTTTAAAGTTTACTTGGCTCCTCATATCATATTACTCCTATCTGTTGTAGCTTATGCTTAAAGGTCAGTACGAATCACTCTTCCAGTGAAAGGTCAGAGGCAAAACTTGCTGTAACCTGGTCTACTCGCTTAAACAAAACGATAAATAAGTTCTACCGTCACTGCCCATGTTAGATAGACATAGGCAAAGTCTGCTGTCTTCATTGCAAGACATTATGAATAATCCTTTGTTTATTTATTTTAAAAAAATTTTTACAGCCTACTACCATAAATCCATTACGTTAGGAAAACCCTAACTGTTTAACTTAATGTGTGCTGGTTAATGTATTTTTTATTGATCACTCTTGCTGTTTTCGTTTACCAGTGGTGAGACGCAGTGCAACAAAGATGGCCTTTTACAAGGTAATTTTTTAGGGAGAAACACATTATCTGTTATCCCTAACTAACTATCAGTATCCCTTCCGTTCTTTCACTAGCCTATTAATTATAAGCATTCATTATTTGCCTATTTACTGTATCTCAGCAAATGCTCTCCTGACCACAAACTATATCTATCATTTCTTTGCTTTTAGGTCAGAAAATAGACTCCCCGCTTTCTGAAATTGGGATAGGGCAGTCGGAGGCTGCTGGTCAGTACCTCAGGGACGTCAGATTCACAAATGTGTTTGTCAGTAACATGAAACGTGCCAAGCAGGTAAGCAGAAACATACTAGCAGAAGTCTAGTAGAAACATACGAGCTGGTCACAGGTAGAGGGAGATGTTTCCCCACAAATTTGACAAAATAACCAAAATCAAATTCAGGTCAAATGAGCAAGAAATGCATGTTTCCTTGGATAAGATTCAGTAAGCATTAAAGCGAGTACTTTTGAGTATTAATAAGTATATTTAATGTGATAAAGAAATTACCAATAATACTCATCATATGTTTTGCATCAGACAATTTCTGTTCAGTTGCAATATGGAACTAATACTAAAGATATAAGGTTGCACATGCCCTTCTTGTAACAAATATTAATTTTCTTGTGTGTATTTGTTTGCACAGTGTATTTGTTGACACTTTTATTATTGGAATAGTCACGACTTTGTAAAATTACAGACTGCGGAAATCATTGTGAGGAACAACAGAACCTGTCACGATATAGAACTAGTAGCGGATCCATCACTTAAAGAGAGAGTAAGTACAGACTACTGCTTGATAAAATAAGAAAAATGTCGGCTCAAAGTCTGTCCATTCAAAGCAACGTTTCATATGCATCTCAAACCGATTTCTTTTCTCCAGAGTTTTGGTATAGCTGAGGGAGGTAGAGTCATAGAAATGAAAAATCTGGCTAAAGCAGCCGGGCAGCCTTTACCAGAGTTCACTCCACCAGAGGGAGAGACCATGGAGCAGGTGAAATCACTGTCTTTTTTGGTCAAAAATAATTAATGGTTAGTATAACAGGTTTGTTGTGCAGCACTTTCTGCATCTGAAATCTGAAAAATGCTGCCTCCGCATACGGAGGTAGGAACGCAACAATGTCCAAATTCAGTGATCGTGTCACATCCTTTCTACCAAGATGCCTTCATCTGATCGATTTTTGAAGGCAGCATAGATGTATCCGTCACTGTCTAAAATATCCCACTATCCTTTGCATTCGATTTCATGACAGTTGGTAGTATTGTTCTGTGTCAATACTAAAATTGATTTGTGTTTCCTGGCTGAATTTTACGTTGCATATTTTAATACTGCTATTTGAAGACAGCGCGGGCAAATTTTATTTACATATTTTTACAGTATATAGAAAGTCTTTTTTGTTTTCAGGTAAAGGTGCGAGTCAAGGATTTTCTCAAGGCTATGTTCCAGCGAATAGCTAATGACCATCAAGACAAAATACAAGATGGTGAAATACCAGATGAGACCGATAGGGCTCCTGCAGGACTTCCAGATGATGGAGTCTTGAATGTGCCCGTCCATGCCTTGGTGGTTGGCCACGGGGCTTATATGAGCATAGCGATGAGGTATTTCTTTGAGGACGTGAAGTGCCCCATGCCCCGTGGTTTAGATGCTGCTCAACGATATTCCATCTGCCCAAACACCGGAATGTGCCGATTTATTATCACTTTGAAATGTAGTAATGCAGGTCTTGCACTTTCAGACTTGAAATGTGTGTTCATCAACAGAAGAGATCACATCAAGTCTTAGGTTAAGAGCAACAGTTTAAAAAATGAAAAGGTCAAATGTAAGAAAGCAACTAAATGTTTACTTGTGTTATGCAAACATTTAGTCATATTCAAGCACTTTACCTGGATTCCTCATACAGAATTTTGTAATAGACAAAACATATCAACTTTTGGAAAGACAATCTTTAAAAAATATCTAAAGGATTTGAGTTTACAATATATATATATATATATATATCCTATAAGTATCCTATATTATATATGTGTGATTACTACTTAGACACTGGCAGTATTAAATATTTACTCTTAAAAGTGTTGAATATTCTTTATGAGAGTGTTTGTATAAGTTATTGATTGGTTTGATTAGTTATTGGTTCATTTTAAATGCTATAAAAGTATACATTTTAGCTAAATAAATATGTCCTCTGTCTATGTTCTTGTGTTATTTTATAATTTTTCTCATTGGAATCACTGCAGCTTCTATAATATTATGCGTGTTTTCTTACTAATGTATCTTCGTTACAACTTTTGTTTTCAACTTTAAATCATGACTATAATAACCTGTCCTAAATTATTACTGAACCTAAAACGTACATGCAAGAACACAATATTTTTATATCTGCATATGTGCCTCATATTTGCATAATAGTTGCAGAGTGTCCTGACATGTACTTCAGCAGCACAGAACAGTCAATATTGAAGTTATTCAGCTACTCTGAACTCATTTTAAGGTGTTTGTTGAGAGAACGTTTGAATTCATTTATTTCTGCAAAACTCATGCACCCAAATTGTGTTCTTAAAGTTAAACAATCTGTTGATTAAAGAAAAGATATATTGTTGGTTGTACATGCTGTTTGCCTTGTTTAAAATGACATAATCACTAAAAACAAACATCAACAAGTCCAACTGATATCACTCCGATGCAAATGGCAACATCAGTTTTAAATAGATTGTCAGTATCTTTATCTTAATATTTGCTGTCTTTGTACTTGATTCTCATCATCATCAAGCATTAATGTAAAAAGTCAGATTTCAAAAACATTACATCACAACAACAATTTAATCATATAATACATTAATGATTGTTTTTATATAATGTGCTGGGACACTTCTGAGAGAGTAAATTTAAGCGATTTCATGGGGAAATCTGTGACACTCCAGCACATATATAACATTAACAAGGACAGGAAGCAAAGAACATGTATTTTTACAATCCTTTTATTGTTTGAATGCATTTTATATATATATATATATATATATATATATATATTTTTTTTTTTAATATATATATATATTACATTATGCATTGTACATTTTACTCTATAAATACTGGAAAAGATTAGCTAATAGAACAAAAATATATTTATATTATTTATAATATATATACTTAAGTTTTTTCAAATTTTGATACGTTTCTAAGATGATATTTAAATTAAAGACATCAATATAAAATATAATAACACATTATAATTTTAATAAATAACATAATTCAGTAGAGGTGGCCAGCACCATCTCATACATGTTTGAAACTATGACATTTAGGTCAACTAACTTATACTGACTGTATTTCATGATATTACCTACATCAATAAATGGAAAAGATTCTTGCATAGTTCTTATGAAAACAATGTCATTGCCACAGCATTGCAAGGTAGTTTACATTTTAACTGATTTAAAAAGGTGAAAGGACTGTCAAAAAGTGACCTAAAATAGCCTCACCTATTGAGGTCATGAGGCCCTAGATTGCATCATAAACAGGTCTTTGGTTATATGGTTCCTTGAAACCATTTGGTTTCATAAAATTACATTATAAGTTATTTAGGTCAGTGTATTGGGTAGTTCACAGATGGTTTTCATTGGTACAAGGCTGTAAAATCATTCATGAACATTTATTTTTAAGAGGTCAATAGTTTGATCAGAATGGATCAGATGGTGCAACTTGCTTGTTTTTCTTCTGTTTTTGTCAATTTGGACTGACAGAGCTCTTGGAGAGCAGTATGTGTAAAGGGTCATCAATGGAAGTGATGGTTTCTTTAGAAACATTACTGCTGCGCTCGTGCTCATGTTCATGCTCTCGATTTGATCTTCGATAATTAGTGGTCCTTGACCTTGGATTCTCAAATCCCAAAGGATCAGATGGGTCAATAAACTGGCTTCTTCTCCGTCTGAGATGTGTTTTATAATTGTTGGACTGCAGAGAATGATGTAATTCTGCACTCAGTGTGGCTTTTAGCTCCAAAATGCTTGATCATTGCATCATTCCTCCATGGACACAAAGCATGGTGGGAATTCTTTCCGTGAATTGTTTTAAAACAGTCCTTATTAATGCCATTATTAACCTGAGGATAATAATGTTTTATTAAAGCTTTTTTATATATATATTATGAAATCCTTTTTCATGAAAGAACAGCAGTGATTTGAAATAGAAATCTTTTGTAACATTAACATTGAAGTATTAACTGAAAAAAAAATGACTGACCCCAAACTTTAGAACAGTGCTGTAATTACAAGTTATTTAGATTTGTCATTTTTATTTTTGAATTATTATTATTTTATTTGCCATTTATTAGCATAGTCATTTTAGCTATAATAATTCTATGTATATTAATCCATAATATAGTAATTAGACAGCAAGTCTTTAAAAATGTTTGTAAAATCAGATATTGTTTACAATATTGATAAAAATAATAATAACTTACTGAAATATACGTGTTTTTAGTTGTATCCAAGCAAATTATATATATATAGTACGCATTACTTTACGGAGAGTTTACGACTAGAACAAATAGTGCAGCCGAATAAATACAGAGATAGCTCTAGTTACAAACTAGCTAGTTGCCAAGCTTATATTGTAGACTTTTACGCAATACAACCATATCCAGCTTATTTTACCGCCAAGTGGTTCTTCTGGGAATCCAAATAAATGTGTTTTATTTGGGAAATGCACAGATTTGACAACATCACTGAAGTAAAAAATCTGAAATTGCTGTAGGACTAATGTGCGTTGGCATTCATTCATTTACATGTTGACTAATTACTTTCTTCTTTAGTTCTTATTTTATATTTTAAATATTTTATATTTTTAGTTGAAGTACAATGTTACAGCTTTACAAGATAAAAATGTCATTATTTTATTTATCGTCAATTTATTTACTATTTGCTCATTCTGTGCATAAAAAGGTTTGTGAAATAAAAGGTAGAGGATGTAATCTTACGTAAATAATCAAAGCACAGATTAAAAAAAAACACATTGACCACATGAGGGGGCACTATCCCAACTAATACTATCCATATTTTTTAACCCCCTACAAACTAAATCTTTCAAAACCTGTTTAAATAAAAATCCAATTTAATTATGATTAAAGTATAATGCAAAAACACAGAAGCTAAAAAAACAACCTTTTATTTTCATTTCAGTAATACAGTTGGCTGCTGTGCACAGCACATACGTATAAAAATAAAAGGAAACATTTTCTTAATATATTAGAATTCTTACTCATTTTTTTCTTTTTTTCAGAGAACAAAATGATTGGCAAAAAGTTTGTTGTCTCCAACATATCGTACAATCATTTCAACAAATTGGAACTAAGGCAGAAGGTGAGGTATATGTTAGAAAATAGGAGGGGAATTTGGAGGGGGCGTCTGCCCCTCAGTGCAGGAATACAAAACTGAGAAAACACAAAGGCTGCATACAAGGACACACACCCATGCACCATCCCTTACAATCATCTCGCAAGCCGCAAATGGGGCCATTTCAAAGCTGGAGACAAAGTACAGTACAAAGAAACTGGTGGAACTTACATGAGAAATAGCTGTTTCTGTATAAGCACTTAGTTTAGAGGGCTTAAATTCTAGATACACAGTTCTGTCCATCATTTTGCATTAAAAACCATGCAAAATTCTATTCATTTCATCTTAGTATAAAGAGATCAGAAATGTGATAGAGGACAAGGTACAGTGGAGAGACATATCAATAAATTAACATCAGTCATCACATACATAAAAAGCAGTCATTTCGACAGTTTCATTGAAGCAATCACATTGCATGCCATATTTGGGGTACAAAGAACTGTAAATCTATAGCTGTCAATACTAATATATTCATATTTCCAACATAATACAGCTGAAAATCTCTCTTTATCCCCAGAACATAAAAAATGACCATAGCCATAGACCATGGTTTTAAGTTTGCTTAAACAGACAGTTCACCCAAACATTAAGATTCTGTCTTTATTTATTCATGTCGTTCTAAACCTGTGTAACTTCCTTTCTTATGTGGAACACATAAGTCATTGGAGTCAATGGGGTCCAAAACATTTTTAAAATATCTTGTTTTACATTCCACAAAGAAAGAATGTCACACAGGTTTGGAAAGACATGAGGGTGCTTAGTCTTCATTTTTGGGTGAAATATACCTTTAAGAAAAAAGTCACAAACACACTCCATGAGCATATTGTATATAATCTAAATATCAGTGTACCTGGCTCAAACATCCCAGCCATAACTGTTATAAAAAATAACATCCTTCTCCTGTAGCATTAAGAGGTCTCAAAATATCAAGTAAAGCAGTAATGCAAGAGAAACCAAGGTCGATATGTACCAGCTAATACTGGAGTGAATATCAAACCTTTTATTCTCGCTTGCACATTGCAGCTGCGACAGAAATCCAACACGTGTTCTAACATGACGTGTTTTAAGGGTATTGAAGCAAAGATATAAACAGATCTTGATTGTTGCAGTGTGAGCAGCAACCGCAAGAAAAATGAAGAAGGCAATGAATAGATTTTCTTTGAAAAATGAGAGCCTCAGTCTTTAACCGAATATTCTAAAAATAATTTAATATTATTTGACTTTAAAGAAGTTTGTTATATCTTTAAAGGAATAGTTTTACTCACGGTCAGGCCATCTAAGATGTAGCGTTTTTTCCCTTCATTAAAACATTGGGGAAATTTAGCATTACATCACTTGCTCACCAATGGATACCGTGTAGTGAATGGGTGCCGTCAGAGTGAGTTCATACAGCTGAGAAGAAGATCACAATAATCTACAGGTAATCCATATTACTCCAGTCTATCAAATGATGTCTTGTGAAGTGAAAAGCTGTGTGTTTGTAATAAATCTTCACATCAGAATCCACCAACATATTTGTTTAGAACTGTTTTTGCCTGTAAACAGTGCTTGATCTGTGCGTATTTCTCTGCACAGCTTTTTCACTTTACAAGATGGATGGACTGGAGTCGTATGAATTACTTGTGGATTATTGTGATGTTTTTATCAGCTGTTTGGACTCTCATTCTGACGGCACCCATTCACTGCAGAGGATCCACTGGTGAGCAAGTGATATAATGCTAAACATCTCCAAATCCGTTCTGATGAAGAAACAAACTCATCTACATCTTGGATGGCCTGAGGGTGAGTACTTTTTCAGCTAATGTTCATTTTTGGGTGAACTATTTCTGTAATTCTAGAACTAGAAAAAGTGGGGCAGGGAAGGGGAATGCATACAAATGCCAAAGTTCAACTCAATTTCAAGTGTGACTTGAACCAAATTCTCTAGATAAAGTCAATTGATTTGGGATTTTAAGAGTGTGCACAGGTGTTCGGGTCTATGCTTGGTATTCAAACAAAGTAATGAGCAAATTATGTTATCTCAAACAGATTAAGACGGTTGTATTGGTTTTTACATTCCAAAGACTTTCTGAGGTGGAGTTCAAGTATGCAGTCAACATGTTGGTGAATGAGCCCTCACTGGAGATCACTGACAGTAGAGGTAAAACATAGACACCACTGACTAGTATCAATCTGATCAGTAATCAGTAGTCTGATAGGTAAAATGAGCGGTTTTCTTATCACTAAGCAACAGCTATGCTATCGTATAATCGTGCCACATAATTCAAGATTAATGCAATTCTATGCATTTCACAAGCTTGATCAGTATTCATTCAAATGGAAGCACCCAAACCTTTCAGGACTAGCCGTCCATAGACTTTCAGTCAAATTCTGAGCTTGCTTGAGGCGTAAAATAGCCCTCTCTGAGTTTAACCCCCAATAAGGATGCATGCAATCGGTTTTTAATGTCAGCTATTTAGTTGTTGATCTAAACATGGAACAAAAACCTCTTACTTGCATGCCTGCGTAAAAGGAGGCAAAATAGCAGAGGCTAAGGCACCACCTAATCATGAAAAATAAGTGCTTTTATCTCCCTAGAAAAATGGTGGAACAGATGAAGATCAAAGTAAACTGATATTTATTTTTCCCTCCATAACTTTTTTCAATGCGGACGTGGCTCTTTGAGGTAATAAAAAGTATCCATTTCACTTCTAAAAGCTGAGGATGTTAGTCCAGTGCCGGGTAAGGTTTACACCAGTTATGGCAAGCACCCATAAAAAGAGGGAGGGCAAAAAAAGCTCCTCGATAATATTCATAATAGAAATCATAAGCAGCAAAGAATGGCATGTACACAAAGTTCAGACACAAAGTAAGCTACCGAAATATACATATATTATTATTATTATTATTATTATTTCAACGAGAATAAATACCATAAGTGTTATTTTAGTTCTTTGCAGTTCACCTCTTAGCATGTTTGGGTTACCTACGAGAACATCCAACATGTGCAAATTATTGTGTTATTGCCAGGTTTGCTTATAAACGTGGGAGGAAATGTGTGACAGTCATTGCTGGGGAAGCCTTGTAGCCTCGCTTCAAGCGGCCATGTTTGCTGAGGGCGATATAAAAGCCCTTGTAAATGGAAGACTCGTATGCGTTGTAATTGTTGGGCAGCAGTGTCTCCTTGAACTTGCACTCGTCACGGAAGGCCCTCTAAAAATGGTATGGATTAGATAGTTAGTTTGGTATTACTCCTCCCATCCTCCTCCTAAGACCTACACACCACTTCTCCATCACATACTCTCCATACACCCTCCTTTCTAATCTAACTACACTGAAAACATGTTTCATTCATACGATTAGAGCAAGTTATTTATTTTTCATTGGCTAAAGTTAAAAAATATAGATGTGAATCATTACCCTAATTTTTTTTTAATACATTAAAATTCTTTTGATTTCAGTTTTTGAATCAAAATATTACACCATTGTGCGAACTGTTCCATTTCCAACACTTTTCGGCACGGTATGATTTCAAACCGTTGGTTTGATAGTTGGATAATGGTGTTCCAGACCAGTGTTTCCCAACCTTTTTTTAGTCGCGGCACCCTTTGGAAATTTTAACAAACTTGTGGCACCCTACAAAATTAAT